GCGCCATGGTGTCTGGACGCCACACCCTAACCACCCTAGGATCGCTTACAGCACCGACATACGGGACCGAGAAGAACTTTATAGTAATCGAGCGGAATTGAATGTGCACTTTATGTTCTCAATTCGCGCGTCTATATCTCGTCATGAGTTTTGCACGTGTTCGATTGACAGAGGTGAATTAAAAAGCTTTCGTACTACTTACTTGTATCACTTACTCCTGGCCTTATTCGTATTTCGGTACGGTTTCGGAAGTGGAACAGCGAATGAATTTCCGGTGTGACCTGAAAAGAAATATATGTTAGAAAAATAAATAAAAAGAAGAATAGCAAAATTTTATATGAAATTATTATGTTGATCTGTAAAAATTTAGAATTAAAGTAAATTGAATGAGAAAAGGATATTATTTTTTTGTAAAAATGAATTTAAATTTATTTCCTTTTTTAGGAAAATATGGAGGTAGTTAAATTAAGAAGCAAATGACAAAGACACCGGAAACCACTATAAAATTCCAGCCCACTAACTTAGAATTCGTTAATTTACGGGTCCTCCAGGAACCAGCGGGAACACAATTAATTACGAATAGCCATAACGAACCATTCGCCTGTTTTTATTAATGGCCGCACTCGAGGGTGTAAACGTGACTTTGGCCCCAAGACGGTGGCCAGAATGGGCTGAACTTCGAATTAACGACCTCTTGGAGAAATGCTTTGACTTTTTCTCTTATGTTTCATTATTTGTAAAAAAAGAAAACAATTCTAGGAATTGTGGTTCTTTCTGAAAAATTGGGTATTTTTTAATTTTCAAATTTTTATTGAAAATCATCTAGAGACAACAATATATAGAATAATTATTTTATGAGTGTCACTAATATATTTATTCTCCAAAAATGTTAAATTTATTAATAATCAAATATGTAATTAGATAATTAATCGTTTGGAAATTGGATTCAATAATATGATATCAATTTACAATAATATTCGTGTGATTTTAACAGTAATAATATTTTGTGAATACCAACTGTTCATCGAAATTATTGGTAGTTATAATTTAGCTTCATGAGATCTATTAGCGTTCTAATTTTGAAATTGTTTCTGTCCGTAACAAACCCACCGGTGTGGTTAATTTCGCTCAGTGATTTCATCGAGTTTGATATAATTCTATAAACTTGTTGCTCTAATTAATTTTATTTCACTTTGATAATGCATGCAATTTAGGAGTCGAAGAATTGAATAATTTTACAAAATATTTTGAGTGGCAATGATTATAAAAATAAATAGATCTTGCAGTATCAATATTTTAAAATAAACAAAATTCTATTTCCATTAAACCTCTCATCCTATTATAATGACCCTTCGAAAAAAGAGAAAATGGCCAAGCATTTGGTTCGAGTTCCCATTGTAATTCAATCTCCCGGTTCCTTTTACCCTCGTGAGAAATTCACCCTCTAACTCATCTTTACGTTATCTCCCTTCCTCAGAAACTTTATATTCCCGTCGAAAATATCAGGATAAAAGAGTAAACAAGCAAGGAACGCGACGACACATTTTTATCGTGTCTTTAATTTTACAGTGGTTCTGTGTCGAGCCATTTCTTAACCGCGCCGAGTGAAATAGCAGCGTCTCCCTTAAAAGACGTATACCCTCGTTGTCCAAAGAAATTCACCCTGAAGACGCGTCGTGCTTCGGGTACGAGTACTCTGGTACACGTAAACGATTCCCGTGTAAAATTCAGTGGAAAGAATATAACCTGTTCCGGCTAAAATGGCACCGAAGAAGGATCTATCTTTCAGAATATATTCCATTTGTAATAACATAATTTGAAAAATGCTATAACTTTAATATTCGCAACATTTCAAATTCGCCACTCTGTATGACCAAATTGATCCCTCTAATAAAAATGGACCCTAATACGGAACTCACCGTCTTCCTCTGGTATTTTTGTCTAATATTGTTAGGATCCCGCTATCAAGCGATCGAGGATTCGTTCCAAGGCTTCGATTTCCTCCCCCAATGACTCGTGTCCTGCAAGCAAGATAAATGGCCGTCAAAGAAACAGAGGAAGTTTGTTCGTCCCCCGATTGCAGGAAAGCGAAACGATTCATTTCTAGGAAGCCACTCTAGCATACAAACGCGAATCGATCTTTTTTTTTTCCCTTCGTTCTCATCCTGCCACTGTTGAATCCTCCTCTCGCACCGTGTCCTCGCTGAATAAATGGAATGCTCTCTTCCACCCCTCTTCGTTTGCTGTGTCTTTTTCATTTTCTTTGTTATCATACACAATCTCTCTAGCCTTCTTTTCTTTATTGAACACCGATGCGTAGCTTTTCGCATGCCCCGGGAAAGGAAAGGAAAATGTTTCGACGCAGAACGGTTTATAAACTGCAATCGGCATGTTCTCGTTTTGCTTTCGCGATTTACTGCCACCGTTCCTTTGTGTATCTTCCGTGTACCGATGCATTCGGTAGCTTACCTTATATAGCTCGATTTAGAGAAATAAATATAGGGAAAAAGAAGAAAGAAAGCGGCTGAGCACGAGGAAATTCGATTGGTTTCGATGAAAGTTTCATTTATCGGTTGGGAGGCTAACTTCACGGAGGGAAAAAGAATATGGCCATTTTAGCCATAGCAATTTTTGTCTGTTTTATTAAATTTAATATTCTAATAGTGGAGATGAATCAAGCGGTTGGTTACAAAAATCATCTCCAACAATTAAAATAATATTTCAAATAAATGATATTTGGCGAAACAGTAAATATTAAAGTACATAAAAATGGAGTAAATTGGAAGTGCTGGAATGAAAAATTGTGAAAAACCTCCAAAGCTTTGTTTCATTGTCAATTTTCAACGAAATAAAAAAAAGCTATATTGAAAAGGAATGACTTTTTGTATCAAAAACTTGTTTGTCTGTTTTATAAAATCCAAAATGGTCGAATTGTAAATACCACCCCTATATATATATATCTACATATGAACAGACGTTTTAAAAAAATTGTATCTCGCACAAATATTGATATTTTCCAACAGAAATTTAATTTATAGATAAGAGAAATAGACAATTAGGAGCCACCCCCTTCCCAGTCTAATTTTTCAAAACTTAATATTCCTGAATCAAAAAAACAACCAATTTTTAATATTCTCTCATTAGAATACCTTTAATTGCAATAAGAGAACACAATTTCCTATTTCCTATTATAAATTCCCTCCTGAAGAAATAATTCTCTGTCTAAAATCATTTGCCTGGTAGAATGCACGCTTGTACCGGAGCCATTCACAGTCCACCATTCTTCTGTTCCTATCGTCGCGTACGTCGACCTCGTAAGAGAACAAAACGGCGTTATCGAGCAGAAGAAGAATCCTCGTCGAGATAAAAGAAAGAATCACGGTGATCGTGAAGAAAAGCGGATAAATAGCGGTGGGACGTTCGAGTCGCGTACTGCTGGATAGTAAATGGCAATGCACCTTTTCCAATGAGGGTGGAAGAGCCGTGGAGTGGGAATGCATCCCGGTGCACGTTGTATTCCACCGGTATCCGACTCGACACCCATGAAATAGTTGCGTTTCTCGCCGCAGAATAAATACCCGGACCAAGTTCCTTCGTGTCCGTTTTTCCTCTTGTCTTCGCTTAATCTTCTTCTTCCATCGTTTCGTGTCCCCGTTTGCTCAGCTACGTCGTTTGTCTTACTGTATCTTTGCCACGAGCACCATCGTCACGCTTGTATCGCTCGCTTTGCGATTTCTTCGGATCACCAAGAGTCTGTTTAAAGCGAACGTACATGTTGAAACTCGATTCCAGAGAATTTTTTCCCGAAAAAAAGGGAGGATCTTCACTTAACCATGTATTATAATTAAACATGCAATAATCTTCTGGTATTCTTACAATTTTCTTATAATATTAATAAATATGATTTCTCTTTTAATTTGGATGTAACGTTGTATCGATTACTGTGGTGCTAATTTATTTTACCTAAGAGCAATAGTTAAGGTGTTAAGTTTGCACTGCTCTGAATAGAATTATTAGACACATAGGTATTAGAAGCTGCAAGTTTAATAAGGGTTTCTTACACATTTTATGGGTTTAATATGAATTTGCAGACCTGGTTTTTTCATTACCTTCGGTTCATTAGAAATTTAATTAAAAAATTTGTAGCTTTCCTTGATGCTTCTTGGAAGAAAATGCTTTGCTCTATCGCCTAGTATAGTTGGACTTCCTTTCTAGATCCCTACTTTTTAAATTAAATTAAAAAATATTTACAAAAATTGGCGTGTTTTTGTAGCTGACATAAATTATTGTTTAAAATTAAATGAATTTTATGATTTTCCTTTCATAAGAATGGATTTTTTTCTATTTTTCATCAAACATTAATATTACGTTAATTATTGACTAATTAAATACCACACCTAATTAGACAGCAAAATGATCCTAAGTAAATATGAGCTAAAATTAATAGCTTTGTTCTTGATTAATCAATAATGAACGGCGTTATTAATCGAAGAAGATTGAAATTGGCTCAGAACGATAAATTCATTTATCCAATAAATTAGCTTTTATCCATTGGACGAGTTTATTTTTCAAAGTAAACTGAGTAAATGATATCGTATATCAAAGTTCCGTCCGAAAATTCGCGTGTCAATTGTTGGGTCACGCGAGAAATTGCAATGGAAATTTAAGCGTACTCCATGGAGAACCGAAAAATCTGATCCATATGAACTGCAAATCGAGTCATTTGATACCGTACGACTGATCCTCTCATAAACACGCATTTTCAATATCGATTGTAGGATGAAATGGAGAAACTTCGCGTATTATTACGTTATTTATTGTTATATGAAAAAAGTGCTGGTTAAAAGTTTTCTATGTATGTTCAGGGAATTTCGGTTATAGAATCTCCTGTGTTGAATATAGAAATAATTCAATAATAGTGATGAAAATATCATGAAATTAATAAAAATAGAAAATGGTACCCTAGAAACGCTAACACATATTATTTTTATCTGTTTCAGGTTTTGCATATAATAAACGAGGTGCTCGAACCTGTACGTGTAAATTCTGCAGAAATGCCAATTTATAATCCAAATGCTTTCGAATTTCTAAATCAGAGCGAAAATCTCGACTTGGGTGTGCATCGTGTTCGGTAAGTAATAATTAATACATTTTTTCTTGCATTATTAAAAATAGAAATTAATTCTATAAAATTCATCGACAAAATGTTTTGCCCTGGAATATTCACTGGAAATATTATCTTTGTGTGAAATTAAAAAAAAAAAAATAAAAGTGCCCTTAATAACAAACGCAGCTATTTCAAATAATAAAATAATGTTTGAGTTCGCAGTCACGTTATTTTTCATTTTCCATTGTTAGAATTTTTATTTTTCATTACCAAGAAGTCGTTTTTCATTGTTATTTTGCAACAATTGAAATATGACCATGGACAGTCAGGTTTTAATTGAACTTTATTAGAAGCCATCGTTAAAGCTCGTGTTATTGTTTTCCAGTAATGAATATTCTATAACAAAGTTTTATGAAATGATTTTTCACTACGTTTCATTAACAACAATATTATTATCTCGTATCAGAAACAAAGAATGAATATTAAAAAATACATAATAAATTTTCGATTATTATTCCTAATGAAAAATTGTTAATGACTCTAATTATTATATTTTAAATAAATATAATATACATTTACCTATCGTTACCAAGTAAAATAAATTATTTCTATACAAATTTCCAATAATTCTCACTTGAAATATATTCAATACTGAACAGCAACTTCTTATTTATCGTTTCTTATTACTTCGACTTATTAAGAACAATTTTTGCCTCGTTCTCGTTTCTTACGCATCAACTTTCAGAGTAAAACACAGCCACGAAATCCGTTCAAGTTCGCTGGAAGATGTAGATGGAAGCAAGTTTCTTAGTTGTTTCTTAAGTAACTTCGATGCTCACTTTGTCAAGTCTTTATCGATATTTAAAAGCAGGACCGGCGTGGAGCTTGCCATCCGAGCAAGTAAAACTTGAGTGAATTAGCTTCGCCCTTCCGAAACTTCTTTAAGCTTCGCTGCATTTCATTTACCGTTCGCACCTGTACACAGTCCCCTCCCCCCTTTGTTTCTGCAACGTGAAACACGAACACCCGACAGAACTTTCTCAATATACCCCTTTCACAATTTTTCTGATAGAACGTTTCCTGCTTCTCCCCTCTATATTCATTTCTCTTCTTACTCTACGTAAATTTATCAATTTTCAATTTGTTAGAAACGAGTAAAGTTGGAACGAATAACAGTGAATCAGAAAGAAAAGTTTCAATACTAATTTCTAACAATCTAGATCTGCTGATTATTTACAATAGTCATTTTTTTTGAAATGGTGTCATTGTACTATGAGATTTGCCGTATGGTCAAGACATTCCAACCAATTAACGAGTGCAATTCTTTTTTTTTGTAGCACCTTCCGACAGCGGATCGTCAAGGAGAAGAAGGAAGAAGTCTTCAAGGCAGACGGACGTTACACTTTTCTCATCCCCGTTGAGGAGGGTTTCAAGGTAAGCTCCTTAGCGATCCTCCCTTATCGATCATCCCGAAAGGATCTTAATATCCTCTGTTGCAAAGCCCTTGAAAGATTCAGAAACTAGCAACTCGTCATGAGAAGTGACAAATTCTGATCGATTACGTTTAAGATGGACTGAAAATTACCAATTATTTTCATCCAAAAATTGGAAATACATTTTTAACAAAAATCAACCAGCGGTTTCCTAGAATTTTCTATCCAAGATATCGGATAACGCATTCGTAGCTTGATTGTACAATGTGTAGCTAGGGTGGAGGATAGGTGTGTGTGTGTGTGTAGACTAGTTTAAAAGGAAAAGGGCAGAATCGAGTTTCGGGCCTGAAAAGGCTCGTTCCGTTTCACGGTGAGAACGATCGAACCGTATCGAAAAGCACTCGGTACAGCACGTCGTCAGGGCTTTTCCAATCGAACGACGTCGATGCCTCAATGCTGGGATGTAAGGAACAGGAGCTCTCTTGGTACGAATGTGTGGTCGTCAACGCGGCCATTACCACCCGGAAGAAAGAACGCTGGAATTAATAACGGCCAGAGAAAACGCTCTGGCGAATGGCCTTTGTGTTTTTCGAAAACGAACCTCCGCTGAGAAAGCTCGCTGGAAAATCAATGGGAAAACACTTGGCGAAGTGAACGTTGTTTTTAACACTGTTGGTGGGAATGATTATAGTTGAAGGAATGAAATGAAAGTGAATTTTTCTATTTTCCGAGACAGTGATCTATGTAGTGGAATTTTCTTCGATAAAATTCTTTCGATATCGAAAAAAACTATAGGATGTTCGATTTCATATAGTGAATATTAAATATAAGAAACTACTATAAGCTACTAGCATTTCTTTTGTGGATCTTTAATTCGTTCGAATTTATGACATTAAGATGAATAGACTTATGAGTTTTTGTCGAGTCACAAACGCTTTCGTGATAGCTTTATCACCATGTCGGAGAGAATTATTCAGCTACTTTTCACCTTCTATCTATATTAAATCTCGAAACTACACCGATGACTCACGGAAGAAAATTAACCTTCCAATTAACCGATACACAACTTCTCTTGCGAAAGTCAGATGATAAAAGAAAGATTAATGCAGATAATAGTTATGACCCTCGACATTAGGTTGTTAGAAAGTCCGACTTTAAAGCAGTTCATACCCACTAATAATGAATGAAAAAAGGAACAAATAATCATTGAACAGAGAGATGTTTCAGACATGCGACAATTAATTATTAACCCGTGCTTTCTAATTCGAGCGAATGGATAGAAAATGCGGTTGAATAAGGGAAGCAACGAAATTTTTATTTCTTCGCCCGTTGGCGTGAGCAATTTTCTCGCAGCGAAGACGGGATAGAAGAAAAACAAGAGCAACGAAATCGTTTCGTCTGTAGCCACGTTACGTGATTACATCTTACATGATATCGTGAATAATTTCGCTAACCTCGGAGGCACGTACAGCTTGCAGGCTGCATTCAGAATTAGCTGAAACAGAATCCAAGGGATGGGGCGGAAAATAAAGTCTACACGATACCTGGGATACATTGAAAGTTCAACAACTGAGAGGTGAAAAAGGATATGTTTGCACGTTCGAATTGAAATGATATTTACCTGAAATTCTTATGACCAAGAAAATAAGATTGCTCTTCTTGATGATACAATCTGATATTTTCTAACAAGAAAGAAGAGCAAAGAGATTTTTTGTACACAGACAATTTTGTACCTCTTGTAAGGGTGATTTTATTTTCTTTGGTTTCCTCAGGGAAATGGATACAAGGATGAAGAAAAAAGATAAGGGAGGTAGGGAAATAGTTTTGAGGAAAACAAAATTGAATTAGAAAGTTACAAACAGTTTAAGAGTAGAGGTGAGCTCATCTTTTAAATATTTTTGTAAAAATTATAGTAATAAATATTCTTCACTTATGAATTAAAAATTTTTGTATCAAATTTAATTTATTTTTATTAATCATCCCCCTTTTCAAACATTTATCTTAAAAGAAGGAAGGATATAAGCTTAAACACCCTTAATAGAAGTTTAATAGATTTTTTTATTCACCCCTTGATGGGGGTTGAACTCCTTATCATAGATAATAATTCAGCATATCATGTGCTTAAACTGCCATAAAGCATATCTGCCATAAAACAATTTATAGCTTGTAAATTTATGACTTGTTCCATCATACAACATCAATATTTTCTACCCAGTATCGTCATAGCAAAAGTGTTAACAAGTTATCTGCACGAATCCTTAGAATCTTGATCGTGGTGAACAGACACGTTTTATCTTTGTCACGCGAGTACACCACGGTTAACAGTTTGGTCGTGCCTTATCACGAATCGGGAATCAATTCGTGCAGGGTTCATCGTTTACGACGAAATGACCTTTACCTAGGCAAATCTATACATTAGAGGATTTGTGGTAATATGATCTATCAATATGTAAAGGCACATTAACACTTATCGTTCAAAAATACACAAATACATAAAAACTTAAAATAATTAATTTTCAGAGAAGCATGTTTAACATTTTTAATTATTGATTTGTGAGATTAGAAGATCAAGTTATTAAAAGGAAACTTAATCATGCATTGTCCGAAACCAGAATGTATCCATATACCAGAATGTATAGGATTTCAAAATTGAAGGTAGAGTGGATCCATACATCCCAGAATTCCCAGAGAAAGGAATCCCTATCATCGAGGATCATATCAATCGCGAACCTATGCAATCAGGGAAGCATGAAATGCAGAATCCGCACAGCAGAAGCTCGTTCAGTTAGAAAGTCGAATAATTCGAAGTATGTAGAATCGAAAATTCGGGCATTCGTGAGTTTTTTTCAATTAAAAACACGTTCAAAAGGAAAACTGAGAAAGAAGAACGTATATGTATTTACGTTTAGAAAAGAAACCGTCTGGTTGGAAACTCGATCAATAGGCAAGTTGAATTTATGCAAGAATTTTACCCAATGGAAACTTGTTCAATTGGGGATTCGTAGAATTCTTATTTTAAATACTTATAAAAAATAGTATATACGAATCACACGTGTAACTATATCTTACTGAAAAGAAAATGTAATGTTGCTACTATCATAAAGAATAATTTTGGACAAAGTGGTCCCATAATTTTAAATTGAGATTAATGCAGCAGTTTTGTACCATTGCAACATCCTTTCTCATATAAATTTTCTTTTGTTCTTCCACAGCCATCGCTAAGACCGGACAAAGTTGACCGCGTGGTAATTGATGGCCACGTGATACCCAACCACGTCCTCTTCACAACCCCAACACCTGCTAATGTACCTTATGAAACCCTTGCCTTCGGCGATAATGTCAAAGTCACCGTTAGTTTCCTCAAGGTTCATGATAAAGGTAAGCGTCAACAATCATAAATCCAATAAAATCAATAAACAAGTAAACATACGTTTCATGAGATTAGCTCAAAAGTTTCTAAGCTATTTCAAATTAAATCATTTTCACAAAGAAGCAAAATAAATGGCTGTATTCCCATATGATAATTAGAAATAAAAACACCTAATGATTTTTAATTGCGAATAGAATTTTATGAAAAGAATTATTTTATTTACCTTCAGATGTTGAGTTAGATGAATTTAATATAAAAATGTGCCAGTATTTTTAAATATTTCATTTTGCCAAAATGTGAACTCCAATTTTCTAAACATTCTTATCTCATTTTCAGTCTACGTGCAATCCAATACCATGGTGGACAATTCTGGCCACCCAACCGGAGTGGTACTGGCGGAAATAGTCAAAGCGAATATCCCGGTGAAGAACGGCGTGGTACACTTGATTGAACGACCATTGATGGTCGTCGATACCACCGTGAAGGACTTCCTCGAGGTCAGTGCTTTGATTCGTTTCATTATTTTATTAATAGCAGCTGATCATCGATTTTATGGAAGATTTAACAGCCGCGACAATAACGTGTCTCGATGACCGCATCGTCATGATCGGTTCATCTCATTTCATCGTCCTCGAGGCAGGAATTGAAATATTGAACGAAACGAAATCGGCGGCAACCGGCTCGAAAGGTAATCTTTTATGGAAAAGGTCTTTTGTCTGAGAGGATTTATAGACTTATGTTAGGGGAGCAACGATTGAAATAGAGAGCACGTAGCTTCTTCTATTTTCAGATTTCAATATTCTTTTATCTTTAGATAAAAATGTTCTATGTATTTCAAGTATTTAATTAATTGCTATCTAATGAATGGCAGATGCTATTTATAATTTTTTGAATAATAGAAAAAACAAAATGATTCAAAGCTTGAAAAATTAATATTTATATTAATAAAACTATCAATGCCTATTTTAATAAAATGATCAATTAAAAAATAATTTTCAATGTTTCTCGATTTTAATTGTTCGATACGTATCATTCTGCAAAGCAGGATTTCCATGGACTTCTGTTGAAAGTTTTCAAAGGAAGAAGTTATTTAAGGTGTTGGCTTAGAGTGACTGACAATGTATTTGCTGTATTATACCTTGGAAGTTGGTAGATTCAACGATAGGATGACGGTGAGTTTCTCCATTGTCGTGGACGTTATTTCCCGGGTTCCTTTTGATATCCGTATGAAAGCTTTTAAACTGCCTCTGGTCGAAACGTAGGTATTCTTCGTTTTCCCCCGTTTTTCGTCTTTCAAAAGGCTTCGATCTCAATGGATTCTTGCTTTGTTCGAGTACAGCCCGCGGCTTTCTGGCCATGTCGAGATGTTAAAAGTTTAATCACCTATCGATCATTTAGATTTCTTCATTGTATTGTTCACTTCTATACATTTTTATAATCCACCTTCACGAATATCTCAATATCGGTTTCAAATCAATGTGATATCAATAACAATTCATTTTACGTCAATTATTGTTTTATGAGGTCGTGTTTTATATCATATTTTTGAATGTATCAAAACTTGAATAAATATATTTAATAAATTTATGATAACACTATCTGGAAGAAATCGAATGATCACAAATCACCCTTCAACGTGTCAAAATCAAACAACACGTGTTGCGATACGAATTAAGGGCTGGTTTAACAAGAATTCATGTGACAAATGTTAGTGGGTCCACGATATCGTACACGGCTCTGATTTCGCACTAGCAGCAGTCCATCAAATTTCGCGCAATAACGATTACCCTATTCAGTTTGACTGATACGGCTTTCACGATTGTGTAACACATGTCAAAATATACGTATACAACTGTACCAACTGGCAGTGATTACACACGTTCACGTAATGTTACATCGTATCTATAGAGAGGCAAGGTCCTTTGACGTTTGTGTATCGTGGCATACGGCATATCACGTAGCTACGCATCACAGCTACGAATACTAATGTTCCTCTAATGCATCTTGCAGTTTGCATTCACAATAGACGTCAGAACGAACATGAAACATCTTTAATTTTGATTCCTCGAAATTTCTAAAATACCATCCATAATAAAATTTAAAAGATGAACCCTTCATGTTTGACTGAAATTCCTATGTTCCAATTTTGCTTAGTTGATAATTCCAAAAAATGGTACCACATTCTTTTCGTTTTATCGTTTTCAAAACAACAGTATCGATAAATATGCACACAGGTGGCTTGAAAAATACTTTGATACTACACGCTCGCTACATCGCCATTCAATTACTGCGACCAGACGGGAACTTTAAATGTCGTTGTCATAAATGTTTTAGCGATACGTTTTTCCACCGAGTTCGTCGTGCGCCAGTTTTGTAAAAACAATTTCGTTTAATTTTCTACGGGTACTTTAAAATACTTTCATATTTTGCGAAACCGTCAGGCAGCACACGGTCGACCGTGTTATTCGATTACGGACAGCAATCGATGGTAACACCATGCTGTTTCGAACTTTTATGCGACAAGTTTTTCGGTAAAGTGTTCGTGCGAAAGTGACTATTGAAATTTTTCCACCGTGTACGTGTAACATTCACGGAACTCGCGCTTTTAATTTTGTTTTAGCTAATTTTCAATTTCATAGAACGTTTCATTATGTTTTATTGCAGACTGTGCGAGGAGAGACTTGATAATTAATATTCATATGAAAAATTGATATTTTGAAAATTTATAAAAATTTATAAAATATATTTAAAATTATTTTCTCACCTAAAATCAATATACCTATTTAATTCATCCCTATGCCTCAACAAACTGTTTAATGTTAATTTTAACAAATTCATCCTCTTCAAGAGTTTACACTCGAACGTTTCCAGTCGAACGAGTTTCAGTATGTACCCCCATAAAACACCCACCGATAGCGTCAAAAGGCCATGAATTTCCAATGACAGCATCGTGCTCGTTTGCAAGATAAGCCATCGTTCTTGAAGAGTCGTGAATCGAGTGTAAACCGTGGAAAGAACGCGTTTTACAAAGATCGTAAAGATTTTTACCAACGTATCACCACTCTGATATCTTAACGATTCTAATCTAAATTTCAAGCTGTTAGTAAATCATAGATCATTCAAAAATGACTCTTTAGCCAGTCACTTTGATTAACATTAACAATTTATTCGTTGGTTAATCCGTATTTACCCCTTTACTTCCGTCTCGTGTTTCTCTGACAGATAGTGAGATACTCGTCGAGATCGTGTGTATCTTTGTACTTCATGGGTAAATCGGATTACAGTCTCGTGTCGTGTCTCGTGTACACTGTAAAAACGAGTTAATAGCAAGGACGAGCTAACATCCTCGTTCCTTTCCTCGAGGACGCGACTAAATCCTGCGTTTCCGCTCTTGATCTCCGGATTCCGTCGCGACGAGTTATTGGATGCTGTCGTAGGATAGAGCTGCTGGTACTGGTTACTCTACTCTGATTTATGGGGATTTCTATGGTGTTATAATGTCACTGTCGAATTTGTCGAATTATTTATTTAAATCTAATCATTTTTTTATTTGTTTATAAATGACAAATTCTTTTGATACTATTTCAGTTTTAAAATTATTTTGTCATTTAATTTATGGTTTCTCATCATTTCGAAATTGAAATGTATAAAAACTAAAGCTCCAACTCTGTGTTCAATAAATTAAATTTAGATTCCCTGAAATTAAAATTTCCATGCAATTATGAAATTAAAAAAAGTTTTTAATTTAGACAAGCTATCTCTAAAAAGAATGTTTCAGATATATATTCAGCAAATGCTATTTGCACACCATGAAATAATATTTTTGAAGTATTCAAAGTTTCTCCGTTACAACCTCCTTTTTAATATTTCAGGCTAAAGTACAGGTCGAAGCAAATTGAATTAACTTCCTTTATGAATATCAAAGCACACTAAATGAATCCCGGTTCCCCTAATTACGTGGCCGTAGCAATTACATCCGAGGCAAGTTTTTACCTTGATTTTCTTGCTCGGGGCCCGAGTTACAAAATCTGACTATAATACTTTGAATTTTAAATTACACTTAGCCCCGGTTGCCAACAAAAATCCGACCTTTCAAACAACGATTGACGTTGCTTTTTAATCCGTCTGTTGTGTCGTTGCGACCACCTACAAGTAACTTTTATTCAAATTTATACCTTTCCCAACTAATAAATCTCTGTGCAAATACGCTAGAGGATTTCTATCATAATTACTACGATCAAGGATAGTTTATAAAGTCAAAAGACCTTTCGAGCTCGAGCGTGCTGAAATTCCGATCACGTTTCGATTCAATCATTCTCGTGATTGATGCGTCGGTGATCGAGCGATATTAAATTCTACTCGTAACGTATTCCATTAAACCGGTCATTCACGTTTGCTCCAGGTTGGAAATGGATCATCGAAAAGGATGAAAACGATTTTGACTTCGAATTTTTGAAAGTTCTTATAACTTCAATGTGGTTCAATCATAACTAAAATCTGAAAAAGCATTTCTATTTGGAAGATTTTCTATTAATTTCTATTAATTTTTATTTCCAAAAGAATTGCTAAAAATAACCACTTCAGATATAAAAAGTCCATAATAAAAGTTTTCTAATATTTTTTCTAACCTTCCAATATCGTTTGATCTTTTCATATCTTGTCAGTGAAACTCAAACGAGAAAGTTGCTTGGAAAAATCGCTGATCCAGTTCCATTTCGGTTTGGACTATGGTCGTTTGTCACGATCACTCATCCATGACCGTTCTATCGATAGAGATCAATGCGTTTCGATCGTCATCACACACGCGGCAAACTGTCGCCTACGACAATATATATATGTATTCATTAAGGTATATATATACAAACGTTTTACACAGGACAGCAATGGAATGTTCACCAGACAGCTGTCGTCACATGCGATATATATCGATTGTTCTTCAGTAATGATCCTCGGCACATCTCGCCTACTGTCTGCACTAGATCCTCCAGGACCGGACATTGGATCAAAGGAACTCTCGTCCATATACGAGCTTTTCCGGTGACGCGAGAACCATTCTTGTTCCAGGATGTTCTTTGATCCAATTACGGCCTGTTTTATGTTGTGTATTTGTGTCCTGAAATCTGCTGTAACGACTGCAATTCTTTGAAATTTATTTATACACTGAATGGGGTAATTAATTAATTTAGAGTTAGTTTTGTAAATAATTATAGATTTAAGGATGCCAACATATTTTATGAGAGTCGTTTCAGCAGGTTGAATACTAATCACTTAATTTCAGGTTCACTCAAATCGACATTGAGACAAGCAGAAAGACTCGATTAAAAAAAAGAATGAAAGACAGCTATGAAACACACAAAAGTAAAGATTTTGGTGTGTAGGGGAGCACAGAGACCCGTGTTCTGCCGTCACTGCACCGCCTCCTGTGTCTCACTTGCAGATCTCTCGCCTTCCGCTCGCAATATTCACCCTGTTTCTGTTAGATCTCTTATACACACCCTCTGGCCTTCTGCCCAACCACCCTTCAGGCTGTGCTCTCTTTGCCTTTCGTTCACGCATCTTTGAACGAGGGACACGTTTCAACACTACGACGACACGATTATACATTGACTTCCGGCGATTGCTGCCGGGCACGGAAATACGAACAAAAAATCGTCATTTTGAAACGAGTATTTTTTTCCATTGTTTGCTTTTTGGATAGAAAATTGTATGGAAAAATTCATTGTAATTTTTTTTAAATTACGTTTACTTGTATTTCAATTTTAAATTTATTCTGTTGCAAATAATTTTTTGCAATTTTCAGAATTTTTCAATTTTTCGAAGCCCGTTCTTTCTGCATTTTCTCAGAGAATAATAATTAAATAATATAATTACTGATAAGAAATAAAATTGACGATATTGATTCTCATTTTCGTGCCCAATATTAATACATAAGTAACACATCTACACAAAATACACTTGTATATAGATACATACGAGTTCTACACATATTCATCGATTGGAATCCACCCCTGTATAATAAAAAAAGAAGAGAAAAAAATACAGTTTGCTTATATACCATCTACGTTGAAAGTTGTCCACTTGTATCTTAGCGAGCATCCCCTTTGGACCAGCTTTTAGAACAATCAAAATCGTTTACGCCTGTACACGTTCGCGAGTTCTGAATCTCCCTTTTTTTCTGCATTTCCGCCACCGAGCCTGTTGAAATTGTCCACCCACCCCGTTCGTATGTATTTGTATATATATATATATTTATACACCGACACACACATATCTATTTTAATTAAAGCGAAAGTCGAGCTTTTCAGGACGCGAAGCATTAAGCGTCGGGGTGGATAAGCTTCGTCGAGACGAAAATGAACGATGACATTCGGTTAAATGATCGCGGAGGCAAGAAATATTTCATTGGTGGGCCACGTATAAAACGCTGCATTATTAATTTCACTGACCGGCCAAAATGTACAATCGACGATAAATTATTGATTCGACCTGGAAGAGGAGTGGCGACCGCAACCCTTCGCACATTGTGATCTCGTACAAAGCCACTGAAATTTACTTTGATTTATGGCGGAAAACTTTGTGATCTCAGCTTTATGGTGTCAAGGACCGCCTAGAGATACGATGCATCGTGAATTTTGTATGGGTTTGATGGTGTACTTTATATCAAATGGTTGGTTTGGAAATGTGAAAAGTCTCGTATCGTACAATTTCATGAATTTTATCATTATCTGGATCCATTTCTACACAGGAGAAAGGTAAAAATCATTAGGAAATTGTGTCCAGAGGAAAAGCAATAATAACGCGTTTCGAGCTTTCAATTAAAAGACGTTGCTGCGAACGCAAATTGCCAACCTCGACATCGTTTTAAATTTCCCTGCTGCCATTTAAAACCGTGCTTAAACCGTTACCTTATCCCCACGGGGCCATCTGGCGAAATAATTAAAGAAGGATCGCATATACCCCGCATTATGCCGCGACTTCGTTTACCTTCCCCTTTTCCTCCTCGTTTATTCCTTTCTGTCGTTTGCAAGCCTCGCAATCTATTTACTATTTAATAAAAACAATTTCACGCTACGATACGATCTCTTTATTATCAAATACGTGCACAGAAATTTTGAAATGTTTTCATCTTTACGGTTTCCCTAAGAGGTTCTTTAACCCTTAATTAATTAACTCTCACACTTTGTCTTTTAATTTTTTAAAAATTCCTTTAATTTCCATTTCGTTTTCGTAGAGATTACTTCCATTAAATAAATTCAGGTAACAATTCACCAAACAAATATTCTCGTACAAATAATCCAAAGATATCTAGAGCCATTTGAGTTCGATGGAAAGCGAACTTACTCGACTGCTTTCAAAGTGCCGGCTTCTTAAATGGTGCGAAAGGGAATTTTATTCGTATGACCTGGCGCCGTTTGGCTCCACCCTGTCTTCGACAGCTCACGTGCATGAATTTGCAACCGTCCGTGCACTGATAACTCTCGATTCACTGAATCGTCTGTGATTACCAAGAAACTGGAACGCGCACCTGACGCAGTTTCCCGATTACCGAAGGAACGACTTTTACTTCGTGAATAATAACGATTCAACTTGAGACCACGAACGTGTCCAAAATGTAATCCTATCTTTGACTTATGAAGAAGGGAATAGATTAAGGTTTGTTTAAATAGAAGAAAATTAGATAAACATAATTGCAATTCTAATCATTAATCCTTGGAAAATGGATGTTATAGATTAGAATCATTTGGATCTATAATTAAAATGGCATTAATTAGTTTAGAAGGAAATTGTGTTGAAAATTTGAAATATAATTTCATGTATAATTATTGTATTTTTTAATGAATTTTATAAATAAATTTTAACAAATTTTAGTTTTTAATAATTCAACAATCTTTTATTTAAATAGGTATTGAACTTCAGAAGGTATCGAGTGAAAACAGCTTCCTATAGAAAAGTTAAAATTTCATTTACGCCTTTCTCGCTGGGAACATGAAAATATCGGATTGTTGTATTGAAAACACAAGAATCAGCCTTTCGATTGGCACCCATTGTCTCGTGTTACATTGCACAATACTCGATAACCTTGTTCAATCTCACTAGAAACCATATTTACGAGCAATATTTGTGTGAGTTGTTTGACACTCGGATACGTTTTCCCGAAGATCAAATTTCCAGGAAGAAAAATCGAAACCATTTGAAAACACGCCAACAAACATGATATTTGTCGTTCGATTTCATGTTAAAAATATATTATTATTTGTACAATTTTTTATATTATGATTTACATGCAGGAATCAATTACATTATTAATTTTCCCACTGCAAATTTATTACAAAAGGGAGTAAGATAGACATCAATCTATTGTTAGACATATCATAATTGGTACTGTCATTGATTTTGCATGAAACCAATCCAGACTACTTTCATCCTTTTCATTAGAATGTTACACGAGCAATCCTGATTATCCTGTAAATTTATTCGTGCATCATCGCACACCTGTATCTGTATATTTGTTAATGTCATGTACGTTCGTGCGATTGACACATCAAACCCATCCGTACGTCGTGTTCAGTAGGTGGAACCGTCGCCAAATATGAATGACACGTTGACATTTGCAAAATCATAGGCGATAATTAATTGTCAGTCCATCAGGTGAAACGGAAACGATCGGATTCAACATTTTGACTGTTAGTCAACATAGGATTTTGTATGGTTACGATACGTGAAAAAACACAACTATTATCAGGATAGAAAATGTAGCGTTTTCAATAACCACTAATGAAAAAAAACATTTTTATATAATCTATGCTCGACTTTCGCTATTCCCATGTTAATTCTTATGACAATTGTATTATTTTCAGACATTATTATTAATTTTCCAAGCCCACAAATATTGCTATATAATAAATATTTGTGGGAAGAAAATTGTATTATGTTATCCTCGTCGATACAATTTTCAATGAAGATTTAATTTATTTTTGCAATAAATGAAATTAGGATTGACGAGGGTAGTGTAATATGGAGAGAAATTATTTCTATAAATTATTGATGAATTTCTGTTCATAAGTTGAATGTAAAGTTTCATTAACCCTTTCACTATTAACCTCCGGCGGAGCCCCAATTTTAATTTTGTATTTCACGTTATCTTCATTTTCAAAATTTTATACTGTTTTTTCTTTTTAAATTATTCTTCTATATATATCATTAATTGATGTAATTTTCTGTTTTCTTATGAAATTTTTAAACTTTCTGTAGGAAAGGGTTGAAATAATTTCTCTCCCACACTACTAATCACCACCAACAAACGTTACAGCCTTTTGATATAGCAAGAATTTTTCACAGCACCCCGTAGCACACACAGGACCCGTCTTTCGAACAGAAAAAAGAACACGAAGTGACTGTCCACCCTTTGGCCCCAATTTGCACCCTGCAGAAAGCAACTTATTTGCAAGCGCTTGATATCAATGCAGACAACGTTTTGCTGACGTTCGCGTGTTCCTTACCATGGTGGAAGAATAAAAAAGAACAAGAAAAAATTAATGGAAACACGTGAACGTGAGGAGGACGTAAATTAAAAGAGACTAAAAGTATCGAAGCGCGCCCTTGTCAAACCACGATGAACGAACCGATCTTTTCTCATGTCACAGCAGTGTCTCTTACAGCGAACAACCTAATTACAAGTTTACCTTTTTTTCTGTTTTCTGTTCGCTTCTTATGTTACGGACCAACCCTGGTTTCTGGTTTCTCTGTGCAGTCCTTCAAGGTAATTCGCCGCCAGCTTTTTCTCTAGTTTTTCTTCTTCTTCCATTTTCTATCTTTCTCATACACATTCTCTCTCTCTCTCTCTCTCTCTCTCTCTCTCGATATACATAATACATTCATTACACCACATGTGTCTCTCTGTACATTTGTCATATTCGCAAACATGATCGAGCATAATCTGTCTCTACTATGTCTATCTCTCACTCTTTTCTATTTCACTTCACTGATCTACTTCATTCTGGCTGCCTCTCTTCATATCCTGTTCTCTTTCATGCAGCTTCCTTCTCATTTTTTCGCTCACCCTCGATTTATTCCATTTAGTGCATCCGCTTTTATACACACCTCGGTGACACGCGTCTTTTGTGCCGTTCGTACACGTGTACTTACATGTACACGTGTTGGCGTTGGGGACGAAGAAATGGTTCTACGATGTGTGAAATTGTTTATTCTGTTGGTGGGGGTGGCAAATTTTGACGCAGGTAGTTTTTGGTAAACAGTGCAAGTAAAAGTAAAAGTTGCATTGTATTAAATCATTTTTGGTAAAATTTTGGTACGGATTATATTTTATAATTAACAAAATTAGTTAGAAGTGAACCCTTAATATTCATGTCAATATTCACAAAATTCATATTTCACATTTAACACCTGTGATACCTGAGTATTTATGTAATTAAAGGATTGAAGATTTTCATTATAATTAAGGGAAACTTGAAATTGAAAATGTTACTGAAGGGACGATATTGTGATTTTGTGAATTTTATTAATAATATCCATATTGCAAATAGAATTTTATTTAAACTGAACTCCTTTTTCCAAGTGGAATGAAATGTGTGTATTTCTCAATTTCTACTAAAGCTGGCTACAATTCCAGCAAAGTATTAACACATTTCTTCAGAAGCACTCGGTTTACTCCTAAAAGCCTCAAATGCTATAGATCATAAGAAGCTATAGAAATCATAAAGCTTCTGCAGATATTCTAAGCAATAAAAAGAAATTTGTGGCTCGTCAAATAACTTCACCGTAAAGAGACATTTTCAAAAATCATCAGTAAGGACCAAAATATACTACAATTCACACACGTTCCTTTATACTAGGAATATAAAATCCACAGGAAATCCAACGATAGAACCATTTTTACGTCCCATACGATAGAAGACGTTTCTTTAGAAGCACCACAAGTGGACATAGCACGCCACGAGTACACAAATATAGAATCAAGCAACCGCAAATAACAGCTGGCCAAGCTGTTCAAAAAGCTTTCGATGTGTGCTTGCGATTCTTTCTTGTATACAAAGGAAAATATATATACCGGAGTGTCCGCCTTTGATTTTTATGAAACTTTAAAGACTTATATATATTGCAGAGGTAAAAATAAGCGACTGAATTGCAACTTTCCTATAGGTAGAGTTTAAATTCTAAAATACAAATGGTATGTAGTGGAAATTTAAAAATTACAATTAGAAGTAAAGAGATAAAAGGTATACTTCATTGTAAATAAATTTTAAAAAAAATTCTGTGACTACAAAAACAGCTACATGTGGCAGAAGTGATAAGGGTTGAAATCAAGGGTTAAAATAGTATTGTAGAAGTCAGAAAATTTTTGATAACTGCGATTGGATAGTTACAAAGAAAATACTGTCTCTAATTTAACCCTTGTTTTATTATTTTATTATACTAACAAGGGGAGGATTTCAAAACTCATTTATGAGTTTTATCAAAATCGAAGATGGACACTTTGATAGTTGTTAGTCACGTTTGTTTCTTATCAAACATACAATCTCACAAACAAAGAACGACCAAGCAAAAGACAAAACCCCCTATAAATTGTCAGATCCCCATGAAAAACGTGGCTACGACAATGTGCTGATTTTGCATTTCATAGTCGGTGTTTTTATGCAACCCATCGCCTCTATTTTCTACCTTTCGACGTGTCACATCGGCCTCGTTCTACACAATACACAGTGTCGTTCTTTTTGCTCGCCACGTTCGCTAGATTCGCGATAAATTTTTTTTTTTTTTTTTTTTTTTCACCTCCTAGTCCGCTTTTTTCCGCGTGGCCGACGTCGATACGATTTTTCCGGCCGCTTTTTCCCGCGCGTTCCACCATGCAAATCGACGCGTTTGACGTGTACATTTTCCGCTCTATCCATCCCTAGAAACGCAATGATACTTGTTAGTGATTTCGTTACCTGTACAGGAATTCAATTTAACCTTCAAGGAAATTTTATCTGATGGTTCATTTTTTGTTACGTGGTGTGTGCTACCTCCACAAATTTTTATTGCTTTTTCAAAACATTTCTTATACAGAATTTGCAAATGTATTTCCTAGAAATAGAATAAAATAAAATAGAATAAGATAGAATAAATAAGAAAAATAGAAAAATGAAATCGAATGAAATAAATAGGAAAAATAGAGAAAGTAGAAAAAAAATAGAAAAAAGGAATTTGACGAATAGATAAAGCTTACGTTCTGTTTGAATCTAAAGAAGACTAATAATCTCAAGATCTTAAAGTATTAAAATCACAAAAAAATTCCCGGTCATGAAATCATCAACAAATACGAAAGCAACTCTAGTGCCCAAGTCACTCGACCAACCAGTTCATAGCAACTTTTGTGATAGCTCGATTCAATCGCAGGAACCGGGGAACTTGTCGTCGGTGAAAATTACTCGCAACTTCCCTTGCTCGTTTGTCATCTCCTTCCGGGAAAATTCGTCACTCGGCAGGTGTCCAACCGCGAAAGCACCCCCAGCACCATACCGCACTGCAACCCCTCCGAGTCTTTTATTCTTTCGTTTCTTTTCAACCCTTCTGATTACACGTGCATGCATGATCGGTGTACTAGAGCCTCGTAGATCTACGCTCGCCTATTACGAGCAATATTTCCAATCGCATCGATGCTTTTGGGGCAAAAAAAGGCTGATGTTTCACGAAAATTCGTCAGCGAAGGAAGAACGTACAGCTTGCTAGAGAAATTCGAACAGCAAAGAGGTGAGATCTTTAAAGTTCGCAAGGATTCGCGTTACTTCGCTTAAATTAATGAAAGTTCCTCGGGACGACGTCACTTTGAAAAATTGATCAGCGGAAAGGGGTAGACGTAACGAGATTTTAAAGTAAAATAGTCAAGCTGTACGTTCGTCAGAAATTTTGTAGAAATTAGAATTTTCGAGTTGGAAGGACCATTTGAAACTTTCAATTTTATGGAAAATTGTATAAAATTCAACGAAACGATTCGTTGGAATATTATAGACTGCATTCCTTTTTATTCGTTGTTTTCTACTTTGATGCATGTTTGCTGGTATGCAATTGTGCACACGTACATACAATACATGCACACGATTGATGTCTTTGGCGAATTAGAAAACACATTTGACGTTATTAGTGGGCAAAGAAGATTGCAAATTATTTTTTAACTAGTGTTCAGTGTAGGGATTAAAATGGAAATAATTTTGTTAAGGATATGTAAAATATTCCATCCTTTTCTAAGAGCAATATTTCTTTGAAAAAAAATAATAGAAAATAATATGACTAGAAGTTCTATTTTATTTATAAATTATCTTAAAAATGATAGAAATTTTTGCATATCCCTAATATCATATATGGCATAGTGATTCATAAATTTGTCAATAGCAGGTAATTATTATTTTATTCAAAGGAAATCGCTAATTTTAATTTTCTGAAATAAAATGACAAAGTAATTTTAATATACATGAAAATTAGTAATGAATATATTTACAGACTGAGTATATTAAATATTCATTACATTTTAAAATGAAAAATTAAAAGCTAAATTTTTACAAATTCACGAATCACAGTATGAAATCATTGTGACTATAATTGAAGCTTATGAAATTTAAACAGCATATTATCTACTGATTAAATTAAAAAGAAAATTCTAACGTGTTAGAATTTTATAGAAATTAAAATTTTCAAATTAGAATGATAGCCTGACTATCTACTGAAAATTTGAATTAATTCAAATAAAAAAAAAAGATTTATATTTAATGAAGTCCAATAAATTTTGCAAGGTTTTATAATAATCGACGATTGTCTGTTAAAAGTCTCTTGTCAGGAAAGAAAGAGTTAATACGTTAGAAAATAAATGTTTCACTAGCGAAGGAAAGAAATCACGAGAAATAAAAGAATCTTTTGGCAAATGTTCCTCGAGACAACGTTGTACAAACAAGACTCGTAAATTTCAAGAGAGGAAAGACCGCTTCGAGGAGGAGAGCGTACTTCATCAGGTGTAAACGTGGCAATATTTCTCTTCTTAAAAATCGTACGTGGCCGGGATTCACAGCTGTGAAACGAAACGTGTGCCACCGGCTCTTTTTGTCACGAAATATTTCAATATTTCGCGAAAGCTCGTATCTGACGAAGCGTTTATTTCTGCTTTAAAAAGTGTTGGTGAATAGGAGAAGTAACAGTGAGATAAATCTGACAATAAAAGCGGGATATTTTTGTTATACACCTCAACTGAAAATATTTTCATCGTTTTGATGCATAGAATCGATGATATATAAATGAATTGTATATTTATCGACAGATTATATGTTGGACCATGGAGAGAACCCCAATTTTAATTTTAATTAGTCATTGCAATGAACAGAATATCGATAATACAATTTATGCTATTATAAAAAATATTTATTACCCAGTATTTGATTAGTTTATTTTATTTAATACTATATCACAAAAATATTTATTCCTTCTCTGTGTTTATACAGAAACATTCACTTTATTCGTTTACGATCCTATACGTGTTGTTTGTAACAAGTTCCGGTTTAATCGAACGTTTTCACTTCAATTTTTCGTTGCTTTTCCTTTCACGTTTATTAAAGTAGAATATATATGGATATTTATTTTCCCCTCTTCAAATATTGTAACTTTTCCTTTAATCAATATCCATGTTTCAATCAAACAATAATTGCATACGAAATATCTGATAATTAAATCATCTTCCTTTACATGTTTATATGTATTTTTTCCCTCTTGTTTTGA